TGTGGCCTTGTGTGTGTGTGTGTGTGTGTGTGTGTGTGTGTGTGTGTGTGAGAGCGCGCTCTGCAAAAGAAGTGAAGGCCGCCAGCGGAAACCCAGCATGCACTGTTAGATGAAGAGAACTGTGAACCCCCCCACCCACACACACACACACACACACACACACACACACACACACACACACACACACACACACACACACACACACACACACCAACCCCAATTCCAAAGTCCAACTTCTTGCAGATGTAGATGAATGTTTGATGTGTTTTTTTTGCTCATCTTTATTCAAATACAGACTGAACCTTTATGGTAAAAACGTTTACTTAAACGGTTTGTGAAAAGAGGAAAAATTGGAAATACAAACAGATTTTTTTTTCAAAGTAGGAATTCAAACAGTTTCAACCCTAAATAGGGGTGTGATTCTATCTATAGTACAACCACATGTGTGGACTAGATAACATAGGCATCCTACACTGGAGAAATAGCAAGTAGGATACAGAAATGTAACACATCAACCAATGGCACATACACTGTGGAACCTTATTTAACTACTTATTGACCTTCTGATTTGTATGACCTTTTTGTTTTTCTCTTCCATGCGTCCCTGAATATTGAAAAACATTCACCAGCACAGTAAGTCTCATTTATGTTTATCGGACTGTCTATATGAGCATTGTTTTCCCAGAATCTGTTCATTATGACTGCATATTCGATGGAGTTTTGTTATCAACATGTTTAAAATTATTTTTTGTACAATGCTTTAACAGCAATAGTAAAATTTATGACTATTATTTGAGTTCTGCTTTTTAATCACTTGAGTGTCATGCTTATTTTTTCATTCCCTTTCTTTGTTTGTGTGTGTGCTTACAGCATTTCTGGGGTCCAGTAGCAAACTGGGGTCTCCCTATAGCCGCCTTTAGTGACATGAAAAAGAGCCCCGAGATCATCAGTGGCAGGATGACCTTCGGTGAGACTCATGCACATGTTGTACAGTATGTAATTTATGGACAAAGGGCATGGCAATTCAGTAATGTTATTTATTGAAGTGTTTTTGATTGATTTTTTTTTGTTTGTGTCTGGATTTCAAAGCACATTCTCAATGACATCCATTGTTTACATTAACAAAATGACTGCAAATTTAGAGGTTGCTAGTTCGCCAAAAAGCACAGTCAAAGTTGCCAATTGAGTGACTTTTCTGACCACTCCAGTGACTATTGTTAAAAAAAGGTGACTTGATACTTTAATTCCTGCTCGGAAACAGATACCATGTGCAGAATCATTTTCAGATTGTGTTCCATATGACAGGATAAGTGGGCCGTTAGAAGAATCGCTGAATGAATCGTGCTTAACAAGACATGGTGCCAATGTGTAAAGTTCCAAAAGCGATGATTTATACACGTTGAAAACCTTTGGCCTGAGGTATATGCTTCCAAGCTACAAATATATACTAATAGGTCATTTTGCCTCATCTGTTCAACTCTACATGAGAAGCGAGCATGCGAAAGCTCGAGGGGTGACACTTGCAGTTTAACAGCTCATTTTATGATGTTAAATTGCTTAGCATTTAAAATGATGATTTATTAAGGATCAAGTGTACATAATAAGCACTTATTTTCGCATTATCATTAACAAAAGTACTATTTATACTGTTTCTGTGGAAGTTGATGCAAGATAATGCTGGGGGGAAAATGTTTGATAGCTTGTTGGGTATCTGAAGAATTCTCAGAAAGAAAGAAAATCTCAAAGAGCAAATGTTTTGAAAAATGTCATTGTCATTTGCTTGTGTGGATTTTTCATTTTATGAATTCAGTAACTTCAATGAGACTGCAATCAACCCTCTTTTTATTTGTGCTTGTGTGCTTCCTTCTCTTCTCAGCTCTGTGTTGTTACTCGCTGCTCTTCATGCGTTTCGCCTACAAAGTGCAACCACGCAACTGGCTGCTGTTTGCTTGCCATATGACCAACGAGTCCGCACAGCTGATTCAGGGTGGTCGCCTCATCAAGTATAAGTAAGCCCGGTTTATTTTTAAGCAACCTTTTTGACGTAACCAAAATATTTTGAAATATCATTTGAAATGGTGCTGTTGATAGGCAAACCACGCTAATTAGCATATTAAATCAATACCTGCTACTACTACTCGATTTTACTCGAGAGTGATCATTGTTACTTCAATCAAAAAATGATTTCTCTCTGTTTTTGTATTTCAGTTTGGAAAAGAAGACATCTTAGTGACAAAGCGAAGTGTTCCCTGTTCCAACCGCAATGACGAAAAGAGCCATACGAACGTGTGCACCTATCTAATCACAGGAGCTGTGGCTGTTTCCTGCCCCTCTCTTAAGAATGATTGATCACCCACATGAAGTTGTTGGCTACATGTTACTACACAAAACAGAGTATTTGCTTTATAAATTCAATGCTGGAATTTATATTTGCATTTGCATTGTTCACTGTGAGTGAATGTATAGTCCACTTTGCAATCTTCCACTGTAACTTAATTTAAATTTTTATTGCTCCTTCACCATCTTATTGACGATGTTTCCATGTATAATCCACATTGCAATCTTCTGATGTAACTTAATTTAAATTTTTATTCGTCCTTCAACATCTTATTGACGAGATTTCCCTGCAAACTCAACCGAAGTGTGACATTGGGTGATTTTAGGATCACTTTTGTCAGAGTGAAGACACAAAGCAAAAAAGACTGTTACTCGTTTTAAGAAAGGTTACAGTTGAATGTGTTAAAATGGTGAGGATGTGATAATTCGGCTAGTAGATATCCACATTTTAATCCCTGCGTCTGTTTCTGCTGAACAACTGTATATTGTGTGGTACTTTGTTCGTCCTTCAAAGTCTTTTATGGTGTAACTCAATCAAAATATCCCTCATTAATTATCTGATTATTTGGGTTTGTAAAGTAAACTGAATAAAACTAACTTGAAATTACTTTACTCTATGATTTTCAGTATATTGATTGTAGTGGATTTTTACGTTTTAGTTCATTTATGTAATTTACTGCTCTGAAATTGTTTGAATAGTTGCCGTGCATTTTTAGGTTCACTTAAAAATGCTTGTGTGGATTTTTCCAAAGCAGAATATTCCTCATGTTTTGTGACTTGTGTATTTTACATTTAAAAAAATTCTCACACACCACCAAACAGAATAATGTACAGGTATATTGAAATAATGATCTAAAAGTGCTAACAAAACTTATATGAAGTGAAATGTAGGCCCTTTTCCTTGTTGGACGAATGGCAACTAGGTGAATTCAGTTCACCTGTGAAGGTTATCGTGCATTTTAGGCTCACCCTGAAATTTCACAAAAAGCTCAAGGTTACATAAATAATATAAAATGTGATACCTCCTGCTACTTTCCTATTTTCACCAGTAGGTGTCAGTAATGTAGCTTTCAGTCAGGTCACACAAAAACAAGAAAACCAACATGGCGTTCCTCAGTAGCAACGAGTGGACGGCAATCTGCGATAAATTTATCAACGCCCAAAACTTCACTGAAATCAAATCCCGAAACGATCCAGAAAATGACCCATATCGCTCCAAGTACAAAGCCAGAGACCTTCTCCGGGAGATACACTGTTCGCTGAAGAGTTTCGAGGCCGGTGACGGGGATGAAGACGGCGGGCCACAGGGCGGCCACCAATGGCCGACAGAGCAGCCTGTGGACGGCCAGCTGGAGGAAATGTTCGAGCGAGGCTTAGATGGCGACTCGCCCACCGGACAAAGGACAGTGAGGCTCGCGGCGGTGGAATATTACCTGGGCGTGAACCATGTGGACACAGAGGAGCTGTCGGCTGGCCAAGAGCACCTAATGAACTGCATGAAACTGCTGGAGAGATGCAGAGTGTCTACCGAAAACGTGTCGTTATTCATCCACGTCCGGGTAAATAGCTCCCTTGGAAAGATGCTATTTAAGGGCCGTTAAATGTTTCAGTTTTTTTTGTTCCATGACATTGTATTATTTTATTCCAGTCATGTCACTCTAATCTGCCCCGGGCCTTCAGAATGATCAGTGCTGGCTAATATAACAAAACTATTAGGAATGTTTCTTTCACCATTTACATTTTAAATTTGCTTCTCATGACGTTTTTTAATGTTTGACATTTCAGCCCCCCCTAAAAAAAGATGAGCAACCATAGTACTGTATTGAAAGTTGTTAGAGTCCAAAGTAAAGTCTATGTCATTCCCATATTATGGATTAGGATTTTCTGATACCCTGAATTATGATTGAGTTCGGTGATTAAGAAGTGATAACCACTCATTTATGCGCATGTGTTTGTGTGATTTCAGAACCAGCTGGGTATCCTCTGGGCAGGTCGTGGGGAGACTGAGACGGCACAGAGTTTCCTGGAAATGGCAGAGGCAATCTACCTGCGTTACATGAAGGAGGTACTTTTTTTGTGATTCCTCCATGACTACTGTCCAAATAAAATAAAATAAAAATCATTATCAGGATGGAAGTCCTCCCACTGATCTGGTGGAGTATTTCACTACCAATGAGAAGCTGCTGACACATCAGGAAAAGAACAAAAAGTAGGTCTTTGTTTGTAGCACAGCGATTAGCCATTGCTCCTTTATTGCCTTGCAGTTTTATATTCATCTCTTCTTTTACTAGGTTCGAGCTGGCCTACACACACACAATGTATTACCTTGCTCAAGTCTATCAAAACCTTGGTGAGTCTAACTCATTTGATCTTTGAAGAACGCAATGCTTTTAATTTATTACTGTTCTAAGTTGATATTCAAAAGTATTCTAAAACTGACAATCATCACATATATCAGAATGCCTTATATTGTATTAGGGTGACATTTTGTGTTGTGGAAAGTAACAGCACAAGTGTCTTGCCAGGTCAAACAGAGCGAGCTGCCACCTATTGCCACAGCACCCTGCAGAGACAGCTGCAGTTAGGTCAGTTCAATCCCATAGAGTGGGCTCTCAATGCCGCTACGCTGTCACAGTATTATATCACAAAGGTAAGGACCGGGTGGGTGTAAATTTTTTGTTTCGATGGTTCTAAGATCCCATTTGCTTGACTGCTTTGTGTCACATGTGTCGTGTGATTTGCAGTGCGCATACAGTTGTCAGCTTGTCGGTGCGAGTCACAAGGTTTGTGCGTGGTATTTCCTCAGGGGCGATACATGGAGGGTAGACACTGTCTCTCAGCAGCCACCGTCATATCTGGTTTAGCAGGAGAAGTTCCCTCTGAGGCTGCCGCACAAGAGAGTGAGTGTTTGTGTTTATTTTGTCCAAAACGCTCACATTTCCTTCTCAGGGCAGAGCATATTAGTGGCACACAAGCTTATTTGGTTCTGAGTCACTGAAAGTATAAACAGTCACGTAGGCATTGGATATGGTAAAGTAGGTGTACGACCCCACCCACTATCATGGAAAGACTGTTTAGGATTTATTCAATGTCCTTGATATCCAGCTGGAGGTCCATGAAGGAATAGGCTGTTTGTCCACCCTCGTTAGACAATTCAGCAACCCGACTGGGGACACGAAGAGAACAATTGTATTTTCCTAATAATGTAAAATTATCTATTTTATTAGTTGCCGTCATTTAGCAGTTTGTTACATTATATAGTATAGTAGGAGGTTGACTGGTTAAAAAGTAGATAATTGGGTCAAAAAAGGTTGGACACCCCTGACATAATACAATTCAAAGATATTAAATGAAATAAATGTCATTATTAAACATTATCCGTACACATTTTTTACGTCACCTATGAATGACATCTGTTCATCTATGAACCAATCTGTTTGAACTCAAAGACTGTAACTTATGATCAACATTTTCAATTGTACGTTTCAAATTCAAAAACCAATACATTGATCTAAAAGTTTCTTCCCCCTCTTCCAGGTGAGATAGAGAGCGAGCGTCGGGATCAGCTCAGGCAGAAGAGAGCCGAGATAGCAAGATGCTGGATCAAATACTGTCTCATCCTCCTTGAGGATGCCAAGAAAGTGCTCGAGGTGCCGTCTTGGTGTTTCACAAGTCCAGGGATAAGGCTCCTGTGGTGCAACTTAAACCGCGACGATTGTTTCTGCAGCGTACTCATCCATTACTTTGTTTGTGGTTGCTCTTCCGTGTGAGCAGGACAACATTGGGGAGCTGGATACTGATCTTCAGGAGGAGTTGAAGAGGAAGAGGATGCTTGAGGTGGAGGAAGAAGAGAAGGGCAGGAAGAGTGCTCTGTTGTTTGGCTCTGAAGACACTTTTGACTCGATTGCGAGCTTGGAGGAGACGGTCAGTGTGCATATCTTCGCTTGTTACATTTATTAGCGTCACAGGTCATACCAGATGTTTTTGGTAATATTCTATCATAATATGTTTCTACTTTTTTTGTATTTTTGTCACATGTTGTGTCAAAATAAGCAGACTAATTCACCTTCTTAATGTAATTAAGTTCAATTCATTAAGATCAATAAAATGTTGGCACATCATCATGTTATCCCATTTCGGATTTCCAGGTGAGCTGCTTGCTGCCGCTGGACTTCACCGAGGCCAGGAATGTATTTCTGGTGGGACAGAACTATGTCACACAGGTACTGCAAGATCATCAGGCACTCGCAACACACCACTCATCTATTGGGTTAGATAGACTAATTAAAAATAGGAGTCAGAATGGAATGAAATGTGTTGTAGAGTACAGTGGCGCCTTGATTTGCAAGTGACCCGACTTTTTCAAGATACTCACTGTTTGGCCAACTTTTTTCAATTTATTTATTTTTTATTTGAGGATTTGCCAAATCGCTGTCAAATATGTGTAGAAAATATTGGAAGCAGTGCAAAATCATAATCACTGCATTCTTTTTTTTTTTTTTTTTTTTCCTGCGTGTCTTTGTGCCGCCTCGCAGGCTAAGGAGTACTTCCAGATGGACGGTTATGTAACGGATCACGTTGAAATCCTGCAGGATCACAGCTCTCTCTTCAGGTCTCTGGCCTTTTTTGAAGAGGACGTCGAGCGACGCTGCAAGATGCACAAACGGCGTGTTGACATGCTGGAGACCATCTGCCTTGGTACTCTTGTCACTCGCATTTGCTGTGCTTTTTTTGGGCCAGTTTTTTCACTCTCTTATATTAATGCACATGCCTGCCTCTCCATAGAACTGCATGCCCAGTACTACCTCATGATCCGCAGACAGTTGATGTTTGAGCTGGCTGAGACCTACAATGAAATGATGGACCTCAAACTGACTCTGGCCAACAGACAGGCTGACACACAATCTCTCGATAGCCACACTATAAAGAAGTTCAACAGCCTCTGCTCTGCCTCCACCAAGTAAGTGTGCATTCAGCTATAGCGGGTTTACAGTTTACAGTTTTATGAAGTCTGCCAAAGGCCTTACTCTAAATTTATATGGTCCACGGGCAGTAAGTTCCCCACGCCTGCTTTCCAAATACAGGTCAACCCAATCTGTTAGTGGTTTGCTAGTCAAGAATTCAACCTTTCATGTTTTTTTTCTGTTGAACTTTTCCTAAACTATTGACTAAAAAAAAATTGTATAAAATGTAGAAATGCAACATTATACATTTGGTGGAAGACCTTCCCCCCCCCCCCACACACACACACATCTTTCAATATCATTCTACAGATTTCCCCATTAATTGGATTAAAAAAAAATTTTTTTTTTTTTTTTTTACTAAACACAGTTAACATGTGCATGTGAGGTGCAGGTATTATTTTTCTCCACCTGGGGTCCCCATCCTCAGGTTTTGCTGTTATATCTTGACTAAGTCTGGCTTGAAAGGTCAAGTGTGAAGTAAACTTTGCCAACAATCTTTTGAGTAATACTTAGGGCTACAAAAATTTCAAGCATACTTTCGTTATATATATTTCAGTCAAACAGTTGTTTGAGTGGCCAAAAGGAAAAGAATCGGGGCACGTAAATGGACCAGAAAATTGGAAGGATACAGTTTCGTTCTTGCAAAGCGAATGAATTTCACGGCGGTATCGTCGAGCATTCTTTGTTACGAGCACTTAGAAGACCTGTTTTCTCAGCTGGATTGGCAAAAAAGGTAGGTGTGATGATCAATGAATCACCCTGGCTGTTGTTTATTAAGACATTTGATTCCAAGTATTATACGTATACATGGATGTAATGTTGTACGAAAACATTCAAACTATATGAGTGCTTGGATGGTATCCTCTGTAATGGTTTGCAACTCACAATGCTGCCAATATAATGTGCCGAGTGACCGACAACGGAACAGAACTACCTTCGCAATGACAATGTAGAACACCAACCCACTCTAAACTAGCGGGAATACATGGACCAAGTTGGTAATCCCATCGTGCACGGCACAGCTTCAAATTGCAAACAATAATGCGAGGCTAATAACCGCAGTCTATATAATTTACCGTTCTTCCAATCCCGATGGGTGTTGTCTCCACTCCATGTCCGGCCATTTGGGCACAACCTTTTCCACATCCTCAGCTTGTATGTGTATGGTCCAGCATTATAACAGAATTTAAAGTTAAAATGTAGCCTTGGTTGTTAGCGCAGTTTCCGGAAAGTCTTCTCTACATTGTGTATGTAAATCAAATCATCTGTTGGCCATTTATTTTAGGATAATTTTAAATGATATTTAAGTGCACTCAGTGACTTTGAAGCCTACTCTCTCCAGGTACTTCCAGATGTTCCTGGATTCTCTGCGCTCTCCAGAAGGGAAATTTCCTGAGCACCTGGAGAAGGAGGTGCTCAGACCGGCACTAGTGGCGCGCTTCCGAGTGGCCCGACTGCACAGCCGCCTGATTTGCTCTCTCCCGCTTACTCAGCTGGACAACCTTAACAACTCACTGGAAAACTACAAGTATGTCAATATGCATTTTGTCGCACACTTTATTTGATCCAAAGCCAGCCACTAAGGAAGCTGCAGTCAAATCTTTGCTTCTACAAAGATAATTCGAAATTGTCATCGTTGACCACAATGTGTAATTTTGGTGTTTTCTCATGAATGCCAACTTTTAGTGAAATGATTATAAATATATTTAGGGAAGTTGTATTTTTAATTGTATTTGCTCTACCAAGTGGAGAAGTTGGCACCTAGTGTTTGAAAAACAACTGAAAAGCTCCTCAAAACTAAGCATTGTTATATTTTGATCTTTGCCGCGTGTGTTGGCTCTCTTGAGATTGTGCGAGCCATGCCTTCTCCAGTGAGTGACATATAGACAAGTAATCATCCCTAAATTCCAGATAATTATCCTGGGCTGCAATGTGCTTGTCTTCCAGATACGTCGTTCAGTACTGCGAAGCCCACCCTGAAGCCGCCGCCGTCGTGGAGTCGGAGCTGGAACTCAGTAAGGAGATGGTCGGCCTCCTTCCTCTTAAAATCAACCGCCTCAAAGCGAGGATGGCTGCTAACAACTGAATTACGGACAAAAAACAGCAAAGAAATTTATCATTCATCGTTTGTGCCGTGTGTGCATGGAATGTGCAGTCCAGTGAATGATCACATGCAAAGAGTAAATGTTTCCTTCACTATAACCTTGCACACATGTACAATTAAAGGGGGACATTATTTGTTGTGGCTTGCCATTGGCCACGCATTATGCGGTGACGGGATGAGGCCTGGCACACTGCATGAGAAATCCGATCTTAAAATGAGCCAATTCCAGCATGGCAAGCGTGGGAGCTGTTTGAAATGATGAAAATACATGTCTCCTTTTAACATAAACTATAGCCTAACCTTTACAAATAACACTAGTCGAAAGTCACACCATAACAACTTCATGTATATAACTGGATTTATTTAAGTCTTCTTTTGTCATCATGATTGAGGGGAAAAAAACTAGACCAATTAATCAGTCGGCCTTTTTTGAATCAATATTTACCTTTTTCAAAATAATCATGCAGTTTTGTTTTAATTTCTCATAAAACAGCCATAATCAAAAGGTAAATTCATCAGTTAAAAATAATCAATAAAATCGTTTTTTTGGGCCACTTTGAACAACAAATTGCAGGCAGAATAGTTGACTGGTTTGCAATATGCTGTCCTTTAGTATTTATTTCACTTTATAACAGAGAGGAATTTTTGACTACAAAGCATTAAACGAATCGACGGATTAATTGGTTCATATTTTTTCTGCAAACTATCGCAATCAGCGTTGTGCGAAAAAAAAAAAGTCAGACCTTAGTCACGATCAATGACTTGATGTGCCCTTCTCTTACACTTTCTCTGCTTTTTGATGAACGACTTTGAGGGTCAAACACTCTACACCGGTGTTCTCTACTTATGTGATGCTCGGAGCGATGTAAAATAGTTGAAAGCCTTCCTACATTTTGCGTTTTCAGACTTCATGATGTGTCTCCCCCCCTACCCCCATCTAATAGTATCATGTTGATGTACATAATGTGTGCAATGATAATAAATAATACATACACGAATCACGGGTGTTTTCTGATGGAGATCTTATGAACCCCTCCATTTTCTGTACCGCTTAACCTATTCAGGGTTGCTGGGGAGATGGACCCTCTCCCAGCTGACTTGAGCCGAATAACAACTCTTTGTACATGTAGAGACAGAAACTTCCATGTACACTGAGTGGTGAACTCATCTTGCCTGAACTGAAGTTAGGCGAGTTAACCACCACATCGTCGTCGACTCTCTTTAACTGAGATTTTCCAAATTTCATTTTGCCATGCTTCAGCTTTCAGGCCACTATGCTGTATATAGTTTCTTGGTTGTCAGCGGAATAGATTGCAAAAGAGTCAAGACGCATGAACAGGACTGATCTGACCACAAGGCCTATGACGGAATTCGTAGTGCTTCCTCTTTAAGATGAAGTTGAGAAATCGTGATTTTTGTATTGATGACATTGGTTATAAAATGGCCACCTATTCAACATTTATCAACCATATAAATTCAACTAAATTAAATACAAGTAAAAGACTTCTGAGGAACACCAGACTGGTTAAAGTGTCCTTGCGATGTTTTCATGTTGATGTGGGGAAAAAAAGACTCAACCTGTCACATAAAATGACGAGCGAGTGGGAGTAAAGGCTTTCAAACGGTGACAAAAACATAACTATTACATCCGCCTGTGAGGCAACGGATAGGTATTTTTAAACTTCTTGAGTATTATGAAGGAAGATAGCATCAGCTGCAAGTGCTGTAATGCTCTGAATGTCTATTTGTTTCAATGGCTCTCAGAAATGTGTCACTTTCCAATTAACACTGAGCGTTAAGAGGAAAGCCATTTGGGGTTCATGCTTAACATATCAGCGGTTAATTCCTCCGTTATATGGGTGGCCGTTTAGTCCCCGTAAAGCTGTGATATGAGTAAATGTGTGTGACTGATAAGAGATCAGGTGTCATTTCCTGAAGAAGATTGATGTTTGCACTTCCTGTAACTTGGTGTTGATGTGTCAGATGAGACCACGTGCTTGACTGACTGACGAAAGGTAAGATGTATGGACAGGTGGACAGGAGGGGAAAAGAATCATCCATTTTGCCTGTCTCTGTTGAGTTAATGCATTTTTTTAGAACACCCAAGAACAGTGATTGTCAAAGCATACGTGTGTGAAAGAATCTCAGGATAAAAGGGAAGCATTCGTGATTTTTTTTGTGTGTGTGTGTGTGGGTGTGTGTGTGTGTGTGTGTGTGTGTTGTGTTTGTTTTGCGCTTGTCGAACATGTCAACATATTCAGTGCATATTCTTGATCTCCTCTTCCTCCTCCTTCCCAGCATTGCCACAATCAGTCCACTTAAGCCGTAATTGAAACTAGTTAGCCAAATTCTGTCTTGTGGTATTTCCGTTCATGCGGTGAGATAAAGATGAGCTTTTCTTGATTTGAGAAAGTAAAAGTTTCCACTGAGGATCCTCAGGGGGCTCTTTTTTTTTAACACAAGAATACTTCAGGAAACCATGACGCAGTCGGAGGGCTGAACTCAGTCTAGGGCGTGTGTGTATCTGTGTATGTGAGTGTGCGTGTGTCAGGCATTTGAACTCCGTCGTCAGGGGTGGAAATAAGTGTTTTTGTTCTCTTTTATTGGTGTGGCCTGAAACAGAATGGCTTGGACAATCTTCATCGCGGCCTGCTGCCTCATCGCCTTGCACGCAGAAGGTAATTTGGAATTTCTCCTGATATTGATAGGACAGTGGCGGCTTTTATTTTTGTCGGAAGATTTAAATTGATTGGCAGTTTGCTGTTAGAGGTCAGGGTCCTCTTGTGAGCATCTGTCGTTGGCATGTTAACATGAGCAATTGTCACTCACACACACACACACACACACACACACACACACCCAAAAATAGTTTTTTGTTTTAAGTTTAATAGTGAACACGAATGCCCCTTTTTTTGTTTTTTGCTTTGAAGAGTACAATTGTAGTCAATTTCTGTCTATAAAGGCACAATACAGAAACGTATGCAATTAGATAATTTGAATCTGTGTTACAAAAAAAAAAAAAAAATGCAGTGTTCCGGTAAACAGCCATTGTAGCCCTGGAAGTAGAGAAATGTGCTTTTTGAGAGTGTAAACATTAAAAAAAATGGGATAGAAGAAAAGTGGATTGGGCTTTTACAAGAAACAAACCAAAAAAAAACCATTCCAAAATAATCTTGATGATCTCTGAATTTGATTGTCCCTTGATACAGGGGGCGGGGGGGCATATTTTTGAATACGGAGGATGTTTTGAAAAGGTCAAATAAAACTTTTTGAAGTGAAAGTTCTTTTTCAGACAGACGAAAATGATTTGACAGATGTATTATTTTCCCGATGTACAGAAATTCATATTCCGCAATTTATACAGTGACATTGTATATTCATCAGATCGCTTTTTTTAAAGACAGCTCGCAAAATCCTTTTCATATATTAATGTTTTTGTATTTGTGCTTAGTTATTTATATAGTTAACTCTATAAAACATAAATCAATGAATAAATGGCAATCTAAAAAGTTTGTACAGTAGGCTACCTGTGGTGTGAGTGTTTTTGTCAGGTTAGTGTTGCCTTGTCATGCCAAACACAAAATAGTTCCCATATCATTTCATTCAGTCACTTTACACTTTTTGATTCATGTTTATTGTAATTCATGTCTGTTGTCTTCTTTATTATTACTTTTATAATATGGAACTGGAACTATCGTGTACATTTACTAAGCTTTGCTAAGCTGAATGTTTGTGAAGGCCTGCACTAAAAAGATAAAACGCTTTCCTGCTTCATTGTGGGTCATTTTTTTTACATAGCCCGACATGTGACATTGAACCCTCAGGTTATACATGATCATGACATCATGTTATGTTTTTCATTTCAACTCTCAGTTGTCATGAACAAAAGACATTCCTTGAAACACCAACACCCACATTTTCCAGAGAATACGGTCCGAAAGTGAGGTAATCTCACAGTTTTGACATGATTGTGATGCTTATTTTCCTGAATAAATAAACTGGCTCATTTGCTCAATTCTTATTGTACATGCAAGACAAGCTCCAATGTTGAGAAAACACCATGTCGCCATGACTTCCTGTTGCAGAGTGATGTAATCTGAAAAACTCCACCTGTTGCATTAAATAAGTGAATAAAAAAATATATATACATTTTTAGGAGCTCCCAGAACTGCCGTGTACAAATTTGTCAAGTGTCGGCCTGAGGGCAACCGTGCCAACTGCGTGACTCAACAAAGTCCACAGATGGAGTGGAGTCCAGACCTGCCGACCAAACTGCCTCCTCCTTCCAGTGCACCATACCTGTAAGTATTTTCATAGAACTGCACTTCATCGTGGTGAGACTTTTCTAATATTTTGTTAATCTACATGAGAGTGGAAAAAAAAAAATCTGCATCATTGCAGAAGGAATCATTGCGGTTGTTGTAGGCAGTGCATACAGGCTTATCGAGGCCATACACATGAGACAGCTTGTGTTGGATCTCATTAGATTGTACATGTGCACTTATAGTAGAGGGTCCGGTGAGTGCACATCTTAGACACATGCAGAGTTGCGCTAGCTTAATCCTAGGTTAATGTTTACACAATGTAAAACGCCATAATGACAAGCATCAGTAGTCATAACCTTTTAAGCAACAGAGTTCTGAATACAAATTGGACATCAAAACATGTAGACACACAATACACTATAACTTCTTGGAAGCATATTATGCAACCTCTGTGAAAACTAACACTGCAGTTTACTGAGTCACTTAAGTAGTTGTGAAAGTCTTCTTTGTTTGGGTCATGACTGTCTTATATTGCCCCCCCCAGTGGCCAAGTTGCACACCCTAGAAGGAATCGCAATGAATTATTCATCCATCCATCCATCCATCGATTTTCCAATCCGCTTTATCCTCACAAGGGTCGCGGGGGGTGCTGGAGCCTATCCCCGCCGTCTTCAGGCAGTAGGCGGGGGACACCCTGAACCGGTTGCCAGCCTATCGCAGGGCACACAGAGATGAACGACCATCTGTGCTCACACTCACACCGAGGGCCTAGGGACAATTTTGAGTGTTCAATCAGCCAGCCATGCATGTTTTTGGAATGTGGGAGGAAACCGGAGTACCCGGAGAAACTCCACGCAGGCCTGGGGAGAACATGCTAACTCCACGCAGGGAGGCCGCAGCTGGAATTGAGCCCTGCCCGTTTGCACTGTGAGGTTGACGCTGAATTAATCATAGAGCATGTAATTCCTTTCATTCTGATGATATTTTTACATTTTTTAAATCTTTTATAAAGTACTGTAGTATTGTTTGGTTCAATATTTACAATTAAAGAATACAAAACACATATTTTGTTTTAAATTTCCGTTTATTAGAATGGGGAAAGATGATTTTATATGAGTGCTTTGCGTTATGAGGGTGGTCATGGAACAAATCCAACTCTTATCTCAAGGCATCACTGTTCATGCCATTTGAAGCACAGATTTCTAAAAGTAACGTTTTATTATGATGATGATGATGATGATTATGATTAATAATAATCATAATCATAATAATAATAATAATAATAATAATAATAATAATACCTTTGATTGGCTGGCAACCGGTTCACGGTGTTTCATAGTGCATTTGTGCAATAGCCTGAGGTTTCAGTGTGTGTGTGTGTGTGTGTGTGTGCGTGTGTGTGTGTGTGTGTGTGTGTGTGTGTGTGTGTGTGTGTGTGTGTGTGTGTGTTTATTGGGTCTGTGTTCTTGTTTCTCTCATTTCCTCTTTGGGTTCTTCTGAAATGACACAGATAGAATCAGTTTATCACCTCAAAGGAAACGATGACATGAATGAATACATCAAATCTTATTTTATCTACAATGTAGCTGCTTTTGGGTTGAAATCAGTGAAAAGCGAACATTCCCAAAACTGTCATGGAAAATATATTTTCCAATTGTGGGCCTACAAGGTCTATTTAGACGTCAGCTACTGGGTGAAGATGGTGACGTGTCTTATCGAGGTTTCAATAGATTTCAATGGAATGTCCTATTTCTCATCCGGCGCCCCCGTATGATGGGGCCTTTTTCTCAACACAAAGCAGCAGAGCTCACGTTTGTCAGCTCGCCTTGAACAGGAAGTCAAAGGGAAGTGTTGGCAGGAAGTGGATTGTGACGTACGGTGGGCTGCCAATTCTGGTCTATTGTTAAGTGTGAGTGAGTGTGGCACATTCAAGCAAATGAAGTTTGATTAAAGTGGAAACAGCTAGTACAGAACAAGAGAGTAGATCAACGGAGTGGCAGTTAAAAGTCTCATGCGTGAGGAATTATGAATAGCAATTATAACCACTTACTGAATAAATAGTTGACTTGAAAACAACTAGAACAAGGAAAACAGAGCTCTTCCAAGGTTCAACAATCTATCATATGAGATATTTGCATCCCCTGCATCTATTGTTTATCCCAACCGAGGAAAAATATATTATGTTGAACTTATATTGTACTTTTACTTGCTTACGTCTTGGAGCGTTACCGAAATAATCGAAACATGCTCCATTATGATGCAACTACAAAAATAAACAATTATCAGATTTCATAATGAAACAGAATGATCTTGAATACAATGCTGAATGCACACGGCTCTTGTATTGGATTGCATTATATTGTGCAGATGTACCGAATGTTTCTTCCATTGAGTATATGTGAGACACTGAGAACTATCCATCCATCCATCCATTATCTGAACCGCTTATCATCACAAGGGTCACGGGCGTGCTGGAGTCTATCCCAGCTAGGCGGGATACACCCTGAACTACTTGCCAGCTAATCGTAGGGCACACATTGACAAACAACCCATTCAGACTGACAATCACACAATTTAGACTAGAGTGTTCCATTAACCTGTCGTGCATGTTTTTGGAAGGTGGGAGGAATGTGGAGTACCCGTAGAAAACCCACGCAGGCATGAGGAGAACATGCAAACTCCACACAGGAATGCCGAAGCCCGCAATCGAACCGGTGACTTCTGTACTGTGAGGCAGATGTGCTAACCAGTCAATCGCTGGGGGGATATTTTGAGGCTTAAATTCTAAAACAAATCAATTTTACTTTCATTATTAGGGTTAGGATTTTAGTTTATGTTTCCAAAACATTGTGTTCATGCATCTGCTATGTGTGATATACACCTGATTGTCATGATGACAAATGATGGCTGAGAATCCCAATTCAATTATTGTTACTTCCGCATAGTTAATCAAGCACACTAAAAAGACCATAAACATCTCTTATGTCTGATATTTGACTGTCATTGTTGATGGTCCCAGTGATGCCCAGCCAGTGGAGGAAGAAGGTTCAGGAAGTATGAGCGAGTCCGAGGATGTACAGCCTGAGGATGGTTCCGGTTATGAGGGTTCTGCTGGTTCATTCTGGATGGACTCTTCGTTTGACACGAATACCGAACAGGAGATGGGCTCCGGCGAGTCCTTGACAGGCCAATATGGTGAGTTTCAAGTGCATCTTCTCCATCTGTGTATTTGAATACAGCTGATTTCTGACCTGTCTACTTCTAGCTGGACGAATAAACTCAGAGGCCTTCAGAAAATTCCTTGACAGTTCTTGGCGGAACCAAGACAAAGGAGCTGAGAGGGAGATGCAGGAGGACCACTTCCTGCAGTTGTAGAGTTGACAAGCTGCTCTTCTTTCCACACTGTTACCACAAACTAAAAATCTACTGCATTACCACCTGGCGACCACAATTTTATTGACGCTGCTCCTGGCTACAGCTGTGCTTTATGGGGGGGGGGGGGAAGAAAGAAAAAAAAAAGATCTATATATAAAATGGAATATAATGTTGAAGTTAACATTTTTCGTGAGCTTATTCGACCTGTAACATACTAGTTCCAGTCCCACACTGCAATCTCCTTTAAGGCTTGAGTCACTTTTACATTGACACCCAGAAAGGATTGGTGCGCAAGACTTAACATGAGACTCTTGCCCAACACAACAAATCCCCCCAGGAAATGATGGGAGGTGAGTAATATTCAAAGTATGTATTTTGTGCATCTGTGTTTTAAAGCAAGATTAAATCCAAACAAGAGTTTGTATCATTGGGAGTCACATCTCTTTCCCCTCCCCCACTATATTATCTATACATTTTCAATATTGCTTATATATCTTCATAAGGCATAAAGCAAAAAATGAAAAATTTCCCCCATTTTTTTTCCTCGAAAACATGAAAAAAATTAACCAAACACCATATTACATTCATTAATATTTTCAGAGGTAGACTGAATGATTTGTTTAATCAACAAGGATGTATCTGATTTTAGCAGAGATAGACAACATCATTGTGCCAAAATATGATCTAGGGCATTATTTTAAGAAGGTGACAATATTAAACCCTCTGAAAAACGTCCAATATTCTGCATGTCACAGTCCGCAGAAAGCTGCATCATTCCGATCCTCTACAGGCCATGGGAAGACCAAAGGAAAGTTCACCTCTTTGTCTACGCATTCAAAAATACAATAAAAACTCAGCATAATCCTGTTACTTAAATTATTTTTGGAACTATGTAATTATTTTCAAAACAAAATTAATGTAAACATGCTATTATCATAAATGCTATGTGGCTATATTTCATGTATTTCCTAATTTTATGCTAAAATCTCACTCTATCTTACCCAAATGAGGAACTTCAGTACAATAAAACAATGATATTCAAAGTTGCCTCAGATGAGCATTCATTAGTAGCTCAATATGTCTAGAATAATAAATATAAAACACATATGTGCGTCTGTAAAATATAAAATACAGCGAGCGCTGAGAAGTTGACAGGTCTGGCCGGTTCTGGTCAAGGATCACGTGAGCGTCTCTGCCCAACTCACAGCCAGCTGACCTGCGTCACGTGACCACCAGTCTACAGCACGCGACGCCTGGTCCGCGCGCACGCGCACGGGCTACAATTTAGCGAGGCTAAGCTGTTAGCTTCAACTGCCTACTAGACGGCCGAGATGGTGAGTGGGAAAACGACCACTGGGATTTGGGGTTCGCACCATATGAAGGAAAAAATGGGGCGTCTTGTATCGATGAAAGTGCGTAGTGGAAAAGTGCTTCCGGTGTGGTTTATTTATTTATTTTTTTCTTTTTCTTTTTTGTTTTAAGCTGACAGAGGAGCTAGCAGGGATGGTCGAATTAGCAAAGTACGAGGCCGCCTGTGGTTGATTCTTGCTTTGAAGTAAATCACGACTATTGGTTTACAAGTTAAGGTGGCTTGAATTGTTCACCACGTGTGTTCGCTAATGTCACATTTCGTAATGCTGTCAATAAGTTGCGTCAAATGTCACAACGACAGATGGTTCACTGAAATATAGACGCCGTTTACGCGGTTTAAATTTAGATGAAGTGGATTAATGTTCATCCTAAACCAATCCCTACTGACTTTGTTGGAGCGTTCTTTTTTTGGGTGTCATTTTTGTATTTTTCTACACTGCAAACTCATTAATGGACTGTTCTGTTAGCTGTAGGAATAACCACGCCCCCTCCGACTCCACCCAGACACTAGATTGTAGACTCCTGACATCCTGGTGACACATTGCATTGTTTTTGTGCATAAGGGTTGTTGCTACTAGTATGTGGCAATAATTATGTGGGTTTTTTTTTTTTTTTTGGTTGTTGGTTTGGACAGGATGTTGTAAGTTGATAGGAGAAGTGTAACTGTACACGCCCTGTGAGCTTATATGGTGTTAGCATGCGGAGACCTCCTGTGAAAAGCTATTCATCAGTTGAAGAGTATTTCATGTCTGTCGTGAGTGCATGTTGACTTTTAATTGTGGTTAAGTAAGTTCTTTTCAAATGTAACATGTATTTAAAGTTAGATGCAGTAGTTAAAGTCACTGTAAAGTGAAAATCAATGGGTACTTAATTTGACACAGCACAGAGAGTTGTTAACAACCTTGACTAATTTGAATGATTACAAAAATCGGAAAGTACATAAATGAGGGTTAAAACTCGTAAAAAAAATCAAGCTCTTGCTTTGTTAGCTTTCAAGTTGGACTTAAAAATAAATAAACAAACAAATGAAAAAAATCCCAAGTTCTCGAACTTTTGCTTTTTTTGCATGGCATGTGTGCACTTGCATCCAACAATGAGGCGCTCAAAATTGGCAGGCTATCTCAAAGGAAGATGCATTTTGAAATGTCTCCAGATAACCTCGAATGAAAACAAAAGTGCTCATTTAAAAAAAAAATGGAAAGCTGGAATGCTGAAAAACAAATGATTTCTAGAATTGAGTACTCCACAGTTCTCAGTCTACGCGTTTTCAACTACGTAGGTTGTTAGTTACATACGTGAACGTCCTATGAATAAACGAATGGATATGAATGTACATATTCTGTTACAAAAATTATATTGTTATCAGCTTGTAAACCTCCAGCTCATATATCCTTGTCCCAACAGCTGAGTCAATTGTTTTGCCATTATTGTGTCACCGCTAACGTTGTGTGCTGTACTTGTAGAGTTTCCTGGGGGGTTTGTTTGGGCCGGTGTGTGAGATTGATGTGCTGCTCAACGATGCTGAGAGCCGCAAGATGGCTGAACTCAAGACAGAAGATGGAAAGATGGAGAAACATTATATGTTCTATGATGGAGAATCTGTGTCCGGCAAGGTAAACTGAACTGTCGCCTGACTTTTGATTCTTCTTATTATTTTTTTAATTATTGATCACTGTCTATACATCCACTTACATCCTGAATGACTTAATTTATTGTATTTTTATTCCTTCAAATATTCCTTGCATTATTGTAGTGAATGCAAACTGACTTATTCGAATTTGGCCACTGCCGAATTGCCATCCATTGCAAATGTCATATGTCTTATTTTCTTCATAACTTAATGACAGGCAGTGTATTCGAGACATTAAATTAACTTATAATCATATGAAGGGTATTTATTTCTGCACTTTTTTGCACACCTAAATGTTGTCATTTACAGTTTTGTCCCAACAAGCATAATTGAATCATCATAAAACATGTTTGTCCCGCAGGTGAATCTAAATGTGAAGCAGGGAGGAAAACGACTGGAGCATCAGGGCATCCGCATTGAGTTTGTTGGACAGATCGGTGAGCATGATATGGTATTTTACTTGGTCGCGCCGCTCCCCCGTCAAAAAAAAAAAAAAAAAAAAAAATGGTAGGGTCTTGTCATATGACCAGAGAATGTGGCCTGTATAAATAGATAAACAAATGTATCGCTTTTGTTTTTCAAGCTCCTAGTTCTCGATGCTTTACAAAACATCTCAGTCTGTAAATGAAAAGCATTTGATCGCTACTTACTCGAGCTTGACGATATGACAATGTAAACTATATCGTCAGGACGATAGAAAAGTTTCTATCATGCCCCACTGCCCCATTGTCTCTCTTTCTCTTTTAGGTGAATATTTACATTTCTTATGACACAAACGGCCAATAATAAGACCATCAGAAGTTGCTTGATGTGATGGAGGCAGCTTTCACCTGCTGTGCTTGTTCCGGACAGCCGCCTCCAGGTGGCAGACTGAGCAACAATCCAGGGAAATAACTAATCATAGTAGTCATGTACATGGCAAATTTAGGGTGCAAAATTTAAACTACACAGAACTTGAAATAAGCGCCTTCGCACAGCAATTTACGTGTCTAAATTAGCATTTTGTGCCTCATCAAAACACAGTGAATGGCAAAACTAGGCATTGATGGATTTGCAAGTTTTCCTGATAATTGAACGGTTGGGGACGGTCCCAAAAAGCTTCCCTGGGCCGAACATGTGCTCCTTTTTTGATTTCAGAGCTGTTCTCAGACAAAAGCAACACCCACGAGTTTGTGGATCTGGTGAAAGAGTTGGCATTGCCAGGAGAGCTCACGCAGAACAGAAGCTACGACTTTGAGTTCATGCAGGTGGAGAAGCCCTATGAGTCGTACACGGGCGCTAACGTCAGACTAAGGTCATGTCATGGCACCATTAAGAGAATTGTTTTTTTCGTCAGCTGTCATATAAAAGTCATCAAACAAAGCGGATGACTAATGGAGCTTTTCCTTTGCGTTCCTGTAGGTATTTTCTCAGGGTGACAATAGTTCGTCGACTGTCAGATCTAGTGAAGGAGTACGAGCTGATTGTCCACCAGCTGGCCACCTACCCGGACGTCAACAACTCTATCAAGATGGAAGTCGGCATCGAAGACTGCCTTCACATCGAGTTTGAATACAATAAATCCAAGTAAGACGAGCGCCACTATAACCACTTTTTTTTTTTTTTTTTTAATATCCCCATTCGAATGTGTCTTATTGCTAGGTACCACTTAAAGGATGTCATTGTCGGGAAGATTTACTTTTTGCTGGTCAGGATCAAGATCCAGCACATGGAGCTTCAGCTCATTAAGAAGGAGATAACAGGCATAGGTGAGCATTCAAAGTTCATATTAAAGCAAAGCATTTTTTTTTTTTTTTTGCGTGTGCCAGTTTCTTTGTTAATGAAAAGTCGAACAACAAAGTGACATGGAGACCTCCATGTCATTGCTGACATTCTTTCATTTTGCTGTCTCCTGTCCAAGTGTGCATAATGTTCTTGTTTACCCTTGTATAGGGCCCAGTACGACCACGGAGACGGATACAGTTGCAAAGTATGAGATCATGGATGGCGCACCGGTTAAAGGAGAATCCATCCCCATCAGACTCTTTCTGGCAGGTAACTTCACTTTTCCCTTTACTCATTTCTTGATCCACGGGAGATGGAAGGGGGTGAAAAGAAAAAGCAACATTCAACCCCCAGCCTCCAATATATGCCCAACAGCTGAAAATGTTGTTGAACTTGACTTAATATTTTAATTAAAATATAATCTGTTTGTAAATATAATGACAGTTCAGATCGGAGAAGGAATACACGTCTGAGTGACTAATGAGTATTGATAGAGCATGGGGAAAATTAATAATCCTTTCCTTAGGATGATTTTTACACTTTAAAAAAATAATGGTACAAAGACTAGATGGCAGAAAATAAAATGTTTTGTCCACAAGAATATTTTCCTAATCATTGTCTTGACACTTAAAGAAAAAGCTGGATGATGGAACATATACTGC